GTTATGGCAGAGGTGCGCTCCCCCTAGGTACTAGTTATGGCAGAGGTGCGCTCCCCCAGCTACTAGTTATGGCAGAGGTGTCTAGCCCCTCTTACTCTTGTGCTCTGTCTCTATCTTGCTTTCTCTCTCTCACATACAGACACAGGCTGGACTGTGTTCCTCTTGAACCAATAAATAGCACTTTCTCCCACTAGGTCCAAGGGCCAAGATCCCTGGGCTTTCAGAGCCAAGCCTATCTTGGTCCCTGCTGAGCCTTCACTGTGCAGGCCTTGAGCCACATCCACTAAGACCCTCAGGATACCTTCGAGCTCTGCCGGGGGGAGCAGAGCCCTCCCCTGCCACTCAGTGGAGCCTCTGTGTCTGAAGGCTGCCAGGTAGATGGGCACCTCTGACCTATAGCCCCTGTCTGCCCAGGTGAAACTGTCCGACTTTGGGTTCTGCGCCCAGGTGAGCAAGGAGGTGCCGAGAAGGAAGTCACTGGTGGGCACACCCTACTGGATGGCCCCAGAGCTAATCTCCCGCCTTCCCTATGGTCCAGAGGTAAGCCCAGTGGTGGCCCCCTACCCAGTCCTGAGCAATGTGTGTATGAAGATGGCCTGAGTTTCCTGGCTGGTGATGAGGAAGCCCCTGTTGCTAGGGAAAGGGTGCCGCCTTCATTCTGGCTGTAGGAGCCACCTGGGCCTGCCACTAGATGCTATGCCCTGTCTAGCCCTGAGGTTTCCTCCCTATCAGTCAGCAAACTTGATTTCCACTAGACATGGGGGTGGACAGGCTGGAACAAGGTCCCACAGGGAGCCAGGCCGGTGTGAGAATCATTGAGACTCTCAGTCACGATGGCTCGTAAGTGACAGGAATGGAGCTCGGACACATTAGCAATCCATGGTGGCTGTTGTTCCGTAGACTTGAGAATTCAGGGTAGGCTGGCTTCTGCTGTCCTCAGGTTATAGGCCCAGGACTAAAGAGGTGGAGACCAACTGGGGGCCATGCTTCCTGGAGCTTACTGAGGATTGACTGCCCTCTGCACTCAGCCCTATGGTCCCTTTCCCACCCTAGGTGGACATCTGGTCACTGGGAGTGATGGTGATCGAGATGGTGGATGGGGAACCCCCCTATTTCAACGAGCCACCCCTTAAAGCCATGAAGATGATTCGGGACAACCTGCCACCCCGACTGAAGAACCTGCACAAGGTGAAGAACTAGGCCGTGCCATTGGTGACTCCCAGTAGCACCCCCAGGCCAGAGACAGAGCCACAGAATCCCTTCAGCCCTAGGCTACCCCAGAGCTTAGGCCCAGGTTGCCTGATTGTAGGTCTGTCCTGTTGGAGGATTTGCATGTGGAAAGCCCCCCCCCCCCCGCACTCCCTGCTTCTTGCTAAACCACAGAAATGGGGAGGAAATGAGCCTTAGGGGTCTTGGGTGTTGTGTCCCTTGTGGCCCAGTGGTAGCTCCACAGGAAAGTGGCCCTGTAGCAAGTAGCCCTGTCCTACTGACCTCTGCTCCTCCACAGGCCTCGCCATCTCTGAAAGGCTTCCTGGACCGCCTGCTGGTGCGTGACCCAGCCCAGCGGGCCACTGCTGCTGAGCTACTGAAGCACCCATTCCTCACTAAGGCAGGACCACCAGCCAGCATCGTGCCCCTCATGCGCCAGCACCGAACCAGATGAGCCGGAGCCGGGTCCTGAACCAAAGAGCCCTAGGCCCCCCTGCCCAGCAGTGGCCAGTAGGGACCAACCCGCTCCCACAGCCCATGAGACACTGTGGAGAGCCACCATCACTGTGCTGGGGGTTTTGTGGGACCCAACTACTGAACTCTGGTTTTGGTTCCGGGACTTGTAAAGCAGCACCGGGACATGTGGGAGCGAGCGAGGCTCCTGGGTCCCTCACCCTCCAGGACAGACCCCTCCCCTGTGCTCGTCCACAGGAGAGAAGGTAGCTGCCCCATCACTGGAAATCTGCATCAGGGGCCACTGGGGACACAGATGACACTATGAGAAAGGTATATGTGGTGGGAGAGAGAGAGTGGTGTGTGTGTGTGTGTGTGTGTGCGCGCGCGCATGTTTAGAAAGTCCACCTCCTCTGTCCTCAGTCTGCCAGTAGGGAACTCGGGCCTTGCCTGTGCCCAGCCCCTGACCCTGAGCAATTGAAGGGTCAATCATGAATGTTTGAAGAGTGGCCTTTTCCCAGAGCCCCACACCCTCTTTCCACAGGAGAGATGGGTTGGGCTTCCCCTTCCCCACTCTCTGCAGCAAATGACTACTGCACCTGGACAGCCTCTGTTTTCTAGGATTCTATTTATATTGTCATTTTATAACACTACCCAGGTCTCCTCCTGGGGACAGATGGTCCCTGACCTATGGGGTGGCCCAGGGACAGAGCCACTTTGAAGAATCAGGTTCCAGTCCCCCATCCCCCCCCCCCCCCCTCTCCCTCAAGTTAGTTTTACAATTAAAACATTTTTTTGTTTTGTGGTGGGTGATGTGTGAAGGCTCCTGTCCGCTATGTGGTGCAGGAAGTTTGGGGACTGGGCCTGGCATCCCAGGCTTCCTTGGAGAGACACCCCACTCTACTCCCTGTATGGGACAAGTGAGCCCCAACTCTGGAAACAGCTCATTGGCCAGAGTACAAGTGCTGTGGTCCCCATATTCCGGCGACCTGGAATTATTGTTTCCTCCTTTATTTTTTTTTAATGGTTTATTTAACTTTATTTTATGTGCATTGGTGTGAAGGTGTCAGATCCCCTGCAACTGGATCTTCAGACAGTTGTGAGCTGTCATGTGGGTGCTGGGAATTGAACCCAGGTCCTCTGGAAGAGCAGTCAGTGCTCTTAACCACTGAGCCATCTCTCCAGCCCCCTTGTTTCCTCCTTTAAAAAAAAAAAAAGTATTTGTTGTTTTGAGACAGGGTCTCTTAGGCTGACCTCAGCTCGCCCACATAGCCTGGGTTAGCGGCAGACTCGCAGCACTACCCTGCCTCTGTCTCCTGATTGCTTCTGTGATTACAGGAGAATATCGCCAGTCTCCACACATGACCTTGACCTGGAAGTGGTAGGTGTTGGTCCTCTAGTGTAGGAACGAGCAGACGAACTCTTTGGGGTTAACTGAGGCTGAGTACCTGGAGCTAGCAGCCAGGGACACTGGTCTAAGGAGAGGCCTCCAAGCCCAACGATGGGGGAGAAGGGCGCTAGTGGCAAGGACCCTGCCTTTGCTATCTGAGCACACCCATCCCAGACTCTGAGATCCCCCCATGAGGAAGCTAGTGGGGGAGTGAGGGCCAGCTGGCTCCCAGCCACCAGGATTTGGACTCCGGACTGTGCAGTCCACCCCATGTCCACTGCCATACAGCTCTGGCAGGGTCGGGACCGTATGTGGTGGAGCCATGCCAGTACCTGGTAACCTTACAGATGTAGAGATTCCAGAGCCCTGCAGCTGGGTACCTGAGCTCCCTGCGATCCCCTTGGCAACTGAACGCCTCTGGGAGGTTCCACAGTGCCGGTGAAGAAATGACCCAGGGCAGAAATCTCCCCTGCCGTATGCCCTACTCCAAGTTGACCACTGGTTTGAACATCTTCAGTCACTGTCCCTGCATTTAGGAGGGGTGACTCTCTGGTTCTCACAGTAGAAGCTTCTTCAAGATGTCCACCCCTGCCCCGGTTCTGTCTCCTGCCCCTGTCATCTGTGCAGAAATGTCCCCAAGGGTCTGTAACACCCAACCCTGATTATCCCAATCGGGATTTAGTTTGGGATGTCAGTCTCACTGTCAGGAAGATTGGAGGAGCCGAAAGGTCAATTACCCAGACTCACAGGGCCACTGTCACAAGAGTGGCTGGGGGGATAAGGGAGGTCAGTGGTGGCACCCCAACCCTGGAAAGAAGGTCGCCTCTGCTGTGGCTGGAGCAGGATGACTCCTCCCAGCTGCCTGCCCTGAACTTGAAGGGTATCTTCCTGAGCAGAGCCTTTTTGGTGCCCGTTTCTAGACTGTGGTTTCTAGACTGCAGAAGCAGTACCCCATGTGTGCCACCTGCAGAGGCAGCACAGACGAAAGAATGAAGTTATCATCTTGCTTTGCCCAAATGCCACTGGCCAGGCACCACACTCTCCAAGCAATGAATCTACTCAGCTGGGTGGGAAGGCGGGTGACAAGTGGGGCCCAAGAGCAGGCAGGCGAGTTCGAGGTGTTTATTCTTCAAGCCCGAGGGGTGTGAATGGAGAACCCAAACAAATGGTGGAAACTGGTCAGACCTGCGGGTCTCTAAAGTATTCAGCCTTGGTCCACCCTGAGAATTTGCAAATTTGATTTCCTGGGTTCCGCCCAAGCTGAATCAGTACCTGGGTGGGCCCATCAACCTGAATGTCAACAAGGGATTCTGACGTCTGCTCCGTGTGGAAACAACAGGGATAAAAGGCAACCTTTCTATGCTAAACACGAAGCTGGAATTCGGTCCTTCAGGTCATGGGAACCCCAGTCTTCCTGGGCCCTCCATCCTGGGACTGTAATCTCCTGCATCAGGACAGCTCCTTTAAGGACTTGACCCAGGGGTTGCACCAGGTGTTTGGCCACACCCAGGGGCATGGCACACTGGAAAATGTAGTCCTTGCTATGCCATGGACCCACCCCAGTGGCTCATTGGATTTGCTGGGTTTCACCATAGGAACTGTGGCTTAATGACACATTGGAGAGAGAGCTCAGAGGTAAGATACAGTGTGTGCCGGAAGCTCCTAGACAAGAATGGTGCTCTCCGCCAGGCAGTGAGGGAAAAGAGATTGTTGAATAACAGGGCTCAGGAAGCTGGTTTATTTCACCCCGAGGAAGAAAAATGGCCTTAAATGGCCTTACTGATTGAACAAGAGAGGGCAGCCTACAGGCCTGTGAGATAGCTCAGCTGGTAAAGGTGTCTTTCGCCATGGCCAATGACCTGAGTATAGAGCATAGGACCCCAGGACCTACTGGGTGGAAAGAGAGAGCCCACCTGGTGGGAGGAGAGATCCAATTTCTTTGAGTTGTCCCCCGACACAGACAAAAATAAGATATTAAAAATTTTAAGGGCAGTTTAGATATGTGATGTCCAAAACAGGACTACCAGACAAAAGTGGGTGCCTATTTAATTTTAAGCTAATGTATGACCCAGTGGAGTATTTGCCTATGTTCATGAGACCCTGGATTTAATTCTCAGCCCCACAAGATCAAACAAAAATTTACATAAAATAAAATTAAATGCAGTCTAGTGCTGGAGAGCTGGTTCAGCGGTTAAGAGCACTGACTCATCTTGCAGAGGACCCAGGTTTGACTTTAGCACCAACGTGGCAGCTCACGGATGGGCCCTTGAGTGTGCTAGGAAATCGACTAGCATGTCCTACGCCAATGCGCTTAACTGCTGAACATCCCTCTCTCCAGCCCCAACCACTTTTTCCTTTTTATTCAGCCTGGGATCCTAGCCCATGGAATGACTCCACTCGTGTTCAGGGTGTATTGTCCCACCTCAGTTAATTTAGAAACTCCCTCACAGATGTCTAAGGGACAGACGCCTGTCTCCTTGGTGGCTCTAGACCCTGTCAGGGTGACCATCAGTATTAACCATTATATTCCATATGTCTTTCCCTCAAGTGTTTGGTCATGGCAATGAAAGGCTGTGACCAAGAGCAGACAGAAGAAAGTTGTCCACGGCCGCAGAGTCAAAAAGAACACCAGAAATAAAACTATACACAGAATATAAATGAAAAATAAAAATAGTTGATAGTATAAAAATCAAGATGCTTCACTTACAGCAGACATGGCGGTACACCTGTCTTCCCAGAACACAAAAGGCTGAGGCAGGAAGAGACAGTCCCAGGCCACCTGGGCTACGTAGTGAATTCCTGACTCAAAATGAACTAAGTAATCAAATAATTTTCATGTGTAACAAGCAGGCTTCAGAATGTAATAGGCAGGTTTCCGAATGGGCAAAATATTCGCAAACACTGATGCTGCTCAGCTTGAGTGAAGCAGTTCTTCCCATGAGCCTCCTGGAGCTGCACTGCACCCTCAGGAGGGCAATATTCGCATGCCTGCCCTGCTGAGACTTGAGACAGAATCTAGCAAGAATAAGAGAACAACCACAGCAGGGACGTGGGTGGTAGCTTAACCAGACAAGGTGGAAAGGAAGTGCCCAAAGGCCGTGAGGCCACCTGACTCATTATCCAAGAAATGCACATTCCAAAAGGGGTGCCATTGTACACTACCCATTTAACTGACTGCTTCCTCAAGATGGACCCAGGATCGATGACAGTAGGGACCATGGGCTGAAAGCTCTAAAACTGCGAGTCAAGTCTTTCCTTTAAAAGACAAAAATCCCAGGTGTGGTGGCACATGCCTTTAATCCCAGCACTCAGGAGGCAGAGGCAGGAGGATCTCTGTGATTTTGAGACCAGCTTGATCTATGGAGTGAGTTCCAGGACAGTCAGGACTACACAGAGAAACACTGTCTTGAGAAACCATAGATGGATGGATAGACAGACAGACAGACAGATAAATGCATGAGGCTCAGGAGATTGCTCAGTGGGTAAATGTGTTCTCCATGCAAAAATGAAGATCTGAGTTCAAATCCCCAGAACCCAAGGAAAGCTAAGGTATTGTAGATTATGTCTGTAAATTCAATGTTCCTAGAGTAAAATGGGAGGTGGAGACAGGAGAACCAACCAGCCTAGGGTCTGCAGCATCTCAAACAAGATGGAAGGTGAGGATTGACACGAGGTTTTCCTATGACCTCCAACACACACACACACAGGCAGGCAGGCACAAGGAGCATGGCTCAGTGGTAGAGCCCCTGCCTAGAATTCCCAGTGAGGGGCTGGGGCGTGGCTCAGTGGTAGAGCCCCTGCCTAGAATTCCCAGTGAGGGGCTGGGGCGTGGCTCAGTGGTAGAGCCCCTGCCTAGAATTCCCAGTGAGGGGCTGGGGCGTGGCTCAGTGGTAGAGGCCTTGCCTACAATTCTCCAATAAGAGTCTGGGAGTGTGACTGAGCAGCAGAAGGCTTGCCTAGATCTATTAGTGAAGGGCTGGATGCATGCTTCTATTGTCCCTTGCAGAGCAGAGCTGGATCACACCCATCTACCTCATCAAACAACATTTAACCCAATCTGCTTTTCTTCCGTACCAGCTGGCTGCCTCTTCCCACTCCTGCATCTCTGACTTATGTCCCTTTCCAGCCCTGCATGCCACCCTCCAGCAGGCACAGGTCCTGTGTTCATGGGGCACATATTGATTTAGCCACGGAGTAAAGATTTGGATGCAGGATGTCTAGACATAGTTCCTCACCAAAGCAGTGTCTGGCCTCCACTTCTTTCCTGCTCAGCAGGCATGGTCACAGCCCAAGATTGAGACAAACAGTAAACAGAACCTGTGGAGGCTCTGCCCTGGCAAGGCAACATTCTAGCAAGGTGAGCCAGATGGTGACCCAGAGAGCTACACATTCAGACAGATCACAGAGAGGG